ATATAAACTAAAGTTGAAATAATCGTCAGCAGATGTGTACTCAAAATTGTTTAAAGAAATTTCATCAAAAGAAGTATGGTACCAATATAAATATTGATCATACACAGAAAAATTAAGACCAGGAGAAAGTGTTTTAAAAGTATGCTATAGAATATACATTGTTCTTATTTTAATTGCTCTAACAACTGTCTAAAACAAAAATAATGTCCTTCAGGATTTATGACATATAGAAATAAAATGTATGAAACAATATCACAAACTATGGGAGAGAGGAAATGAAAGTATATTGTTGAAGGTTTCTTACACTATACATTAAATACATTAAATAGCATAATATATTTTCAATGTCAAACATTATTTAAAGATATATATTTAAACCCTAGCACAATCTTGAAAAAAAATGTAAAAGGTATAACTAATAAACCATTAGTGGAGATAAAACTGAATCAAAAGGACAAAAAGAGGAGAAGGGGAACTAAAAATTGATGAGGCAAATAGAAGAGAACTAGCAATATGGTAAATCTAAGCATGTTCATTATTATATTACATATAAATGGTCTAAACACCTCAATTTAAAGGCAAAGATTGTTAGACTGGGTTTTTTTAAAGCAAAATACAATTATATTCTATCTGTAAGAATACACTTTACCTATAAAGACATAGACAGGTAAATAGTAAAATGTGAAAAGATACACCATGCAGACACAAATCAAAAGAAAGTTAAAATGGCTACAATATCAGACAGACTTCAGTACAAATAATATTACCAGGAATATATAGGGACATTTCATAATGAAATAACAACTGTAAATGTGATTGCACCTAAAAGCAGAACTTTACAATGCATATCGGCATATTGAGTTATTTGAATTATTGCAGAAAAAAAGAAAACCTCTTTAACTTAGCTTTAGTATGTCCCAAATTTGTTTGAAAATTGTTATTGGCTTTTCTGATATAAGACTAGCAATACTCTAAGAATAAATGTTTAAAGAATGTCCTTTAGCAAATACTTTCCTAAATCACAACATAACTTCATTTTTCCCCTCCTTTAAAAAGTAGATGGTTTTCTATTTGTTATGAAATGACACCCAAGCTCTGTAGTCTAGATGCAAGGCCTTTCATGGTCAGGCTTCAACCTTTCTTTTGAGCCTTGTCTTTATTACACTCCCCATCCCCAGTCCACCAAACCATTCATGAATCAGCCACTCTGTACTAGGTTTCATGACTCAAAGTACCTTGTACTTTCCTACTGCTCATCTCGCTGTTTCCCCTGTGTTCACTGTTTAATTCCATCTGTTCTTCCATATCCAGCCCTAATATAGCATTATCTATGATGAGATACCAGTCATTTATTCAGAAAACATTAATTAAATACCTACTAAGTACTAGGGACTGGGTCTATTCCAAGGTGGCTCCAGTTGGAAATAATTCTCCTTTCCACAATAATCCAGTAACAAGCTTTGTCTATGTTACATATTTGCTTATATTTTACATGTTATCAAAAACTGTTCCTCAAACACAGGCACCCTCTTGCTTAAAGTTTACATATGTTATTCTCTCTCCTAGACTGCTTCCCTCTCAGATATCTGTATGGCCTAACTATTCAAGGTGCTGACTTAAATGGGAACTTCTCAATGACGCTTTCTCTCACCTTTCTTTAAAACTGTACCTCCCCTTCTCTATTTCTTATTATGTTTTTCTCCATAATATTTATCATGTATTATAATGTAAATTTTACAGATTTTGTGTGTAAGCTCCACAATCACAGGAATTTTCATCTATCTCACCTAGTGTTGTATGCTTACTGCCAAGAACAAGAACTGCCACTTAGTAACTGTGATGGCCCATTTCATGCATCACATTGGGTCAGCTACAGTAACTAGGCACTGGAAGAGCAGTCTAGAAGTCACTGAGAAGACATTTTTTTTACAAGAAATTAACATTTAAATCTGTAGAACTTAAGTAGATGACCCTCCATAATATAAGTGGGCCTCGTCTAATCAGCTGAAGGCCTTAAGAGGAAAAAAACTGAGATCCCAAAGGAAGAGGGGATTCTGCCCTCAGACTGCATTTGAGCAGCAGTATTGGCTCTTTTCTGGGTCTCCAACCTGCTGTCCTGCCCACAGACTTGCCTGGCCCCACAAGCTTATGAGCCAATTACTTAAAATAAATCTCCATATATATCTAGATAGATATTTCTCTCGATACATATGGATATAGATATTTATATTTATCTATGCCTCTATGTCTCTATCTGTCCATAGAAAGATACAGGTACATCCTACTGGTTCTCTCTGGAGAACCCTAAAAGTAGGCATTCAGTAAATACTTAGAGTGAATAAATGATTTATCATTAGTTATTTATAGCTTAAATTCTAAGCTCCTTAAACTATAAGCTCTCTAAGCTCTCTAACTAACTTTTCCTTCTATTTGTTCTGTGCCTAACATCATTATACATTCATTCAACATATATTTGTTGATTACCTACCTAGTACCCAGGGTTGGGTCCATGCCACATACATGCCTTGTACTTTCCTACCTCTCTGGCTTTAACCCCTGCCCTTGCCTCATTCACTTATTTAATCCCACCTATCCTTCAAAATCCAGTTCAAATATGACATCTTCTATGAATAAGAAGCCATTCTTCTATTCAGCAAATATTCATTGTCTACTATGTACCAAGTACTAGGTGATGTTTGTTGAATAAACATAGGAGCTTCTAAGAAGACAGAGTTACATAAGTAGAATTGGAGTAAGAGAAACATATTCATTAAAGTTAAACTTGTTAGAGAATCTTCATGTTAATAGGATCACAAACAACAAAAATACATAGATCAATTGTCCAGTATCAACTGAATCTCTGAAATGTAGTCAGCCAAAGGACCACAGGACTGAAGCATTTAGTATAGGAAAGTAGCACATTCATGGAAAATCAAAAGGTCAGGTAAATGCAGACAGTGAAGAGCGGACAAGTTCAAAGATGAGTACAGCCAGTTGGGGGGTAATAAAGAAGGAAAATGGTAAAGGGTTTTCAAAGGAACATCATTTTCACACATCATCCATATTTTCATCATCCATCAAAGGTGATTAGTGCAGACTAAGCGTCAGCACTAGCAAGCTCAAAGTTTACATATATGAGGTAAAAAGTAGTCTTCCTGGCTCCTGCCTTGCATTGAAATGATTTATGAGGCTAATAGAGATTGACAGATTGAAAAGGTCACTTGTCCAGTGAGCCCACCACACCTCGTCTTGCTTCCATGTCATAATAAAGCTCACTTGCAGAACCTGTCTGAGAGCATATCTATATGCAGTGGATGCTCCAGGAACTGAAAGGTCATTTGGGACCTGAGTGCTCCCGGTCATGTGTGGGCAGCTCCTCGTCTCCCCTCACTTGTATATTTTTGTATTTAAAGGCACAGCAGGTGAATTTCTATCTCTTGCTCAGCCTGTCAGCCTGGGTCTGAATCATGAATTATATTTTTCCATTTTACAGTCAGGAAAAATCTCCTCTTCAATGATAATAAAATCAGTGGACCAGATTCTGTCCTTTCTTCCTAATGCATGAATCCTGCTCAAGTCAGCAGAACTTAAGGGCATGCAGCTTTGGGCAGAAAGTATTCCAAGTTTTTTTCTCTGCTAGATTTTTATTACCTGACAACTTTCTGATTCCTTTGGATTGCACAATAAGGGAAGGGTGGCCCAGTTTGGGTAAAAGAAAAAATGACCCAAACCACTGACCTAAATCCTGCCTTTGAAATTTAAAATTACATTTACTAAGAAGGAAAATAGTTTTTTGAGTGTGGGTGGTTTTCTTTTTTAAAACCCATTTTCAAATGTTGACCTCCCGAATGTTATCATACCAGTTTGGATTGGAAAACAGAAGGGTAGGTAAACATTTTTTTTTAAGCTTGGTGGGAGGAGGTCATCCTTTCTGAATTCATTATCTGCAAAGAAGCAGGAAATACCAAGAACTTTTTTTTTCAATTTCCTGCTTACATTGTCAGATTTGACTGCAAAAGAAAATCATCCAATTTTGTGAAATATGGAGACTTGGGTCCTCCTTCCTTCAGAAGTGAACTCAGTGGTGAAGAAGCAAAGGTAGGAAAGCTTTGCTGGGCAGGGGATGGAAGACAGAGGTGAGGAAGTCTCTTCTTTTGTGCAAATAAAAGGGCCATATGCATAGTGGCCACATACATGACAGCCCATGTGGTTTGATATAATGATTCAAAGACTATCCCACCACAAACCTCATAGCTCTTCTCTTATACCTGAGGGGCCTACTGAAGTCATTCTTTTCAGATAAGATGCCACCTCCAGAAGTACTCTGAAATATCACCTGGGATATAGGACTCTCACACATTGTAACCATGTACCCAATTATTCATCAATTCCCTATCTGGGTTTAGAGCCCTGATCAATTGGAATACAACACAGGAAAATTTTTATAAGACAGGAGGAATAGATTGGATGATGGAGGAAAGAAAGATTTGGAGCAAAGCTCTCTGTCCATTAATACTCACTCCACTGTGTTGTCATTCTTTGTATACATAACTAGTCCTTGACCTAAATTGATCTCCTTGAAACTAGGGTCCTTGCCTCATTTATTTTTATTTCTTCAGCAACTAGAAGGGCCTGATAACATAGGAGCCATTCAACATAGTGCTCTGATTTGACAGTCCTGGACTTGAATTCAAATTCTACCAATTACAAGCTATGTGACTTTGTGTAAGACATTGCATCTCATTAAACCTAATCTATAAGATGGGTATAATAATTCCTTCCTCCAAACATTCTTCTGAGGATGAAGAAAGATATACTTTTAATCTCAAATGCTTTTTAAAATGCTTTTCACAATGCTTGGCACAGAGCTTGCACTTAAAAAAACTAATCATCATACATTCAAAAAGTTTGTTGAATAAATGAATGACCAATCAACTAATTAAAAATTAACAAAGGAGCAGCAGGAGTATATGAACACTTGGTCACAGGAAGATACTTACAGGGTTCCGGCCAGGAATGCCTAGATGAAGCCATTACCTTTGATCTTTCTTCGTTCTCAGCACGTTTTCAAAAACTCATCACATTTGGTGGGACACTTGAATAGAATAAAAGTCAACAGTGCTAAATCATTTAGAATTACAATGTTTCACAATGTTGACACCATTGACTGTTCATCTTTCAGCCCCTTGCAGCTGCTTAAGTAAAACTATGGATGTGCTCTCTTACATTGTTATAGTCACCACATGTCCCAGTAGACATGTAGTCTTTCTTTCTCTTTCACGCTGACATTATGTTAATTGGGCCTCTGACCTAATTCCAATCATATTATACGTCATGCTACAACATAAAAATAAGAGAGAGCTTCCTATGTACTCAGCACATTTACTTCACAAAATCAAATCACTTAATTCTCATGATTCTATGTAAGTACTGCCTATGTTGAAATGACCATTATCATCTTCATTTTACAGATGAGGAAAGTAAGGCAAGTGGAATCAAACAACTTGGCAAAGGTCACAGAGATGGCAAGAGCTGCAGTAGGTAGATACTCAAACCCAGATGGTCAACTCCAGAGTTCTTAACAACTATGTTTATGTGCCACAAAACCTAACACCAGCTGCCTTTACATGCACTATCACATCAGTATTTGTGTATCACATGGTGGCTAAATGAATTTTTCACTTTGGTGGAAATATGGCTGTGTATCTGGGGAGGTTCTTCATACATAGTATGAGATCTACTGGCAGAGTCAGAGGGAAGGTAGTCATCTGGGCCAGACCTGTGCACCTGTAGATCTATCCGTGGCATACACCAAGTGACTGCTCTCAGGAATTTTGCTCACACATATTTTCATATTTGTTCATGATCTGGTTAATATAGCTGCCCACTTTGATTTGTTGTCCTTGATTATATTTGATGCATTGATTATATCTGATGTTAAGATTCATTAATAGCATCCATTGTCCATTTTCTACACAATCAGGATTCAGGAACTCCTTCTAACTGAAAGTTTTAAAACCATTGCAACTGTACACTGCATCATTGCAATTTGTATTGAAATAAAATATTAGTTCTGTCCTAGAAGAGGCAGATTGGGTTTCACATTTATTAAAATTTGTAAAACAGGCCAAGGACTTTGGGGAGCTCAACACTGTTATTGTTAGGATCTTTACCATTGCAAGCTCTCTCTCTCTCCTCAGTTGGAATCGGCATGAGCAGAAACAGAGAACTGGTAAGCTCCTTGGAGAGCTACAGTTGAAAAGTTCTTAAATAAATAGTCCTTAGAATGCTTTTTATTTTGCATGTCACTTTTCCTCTCTTGAGCTGCCCAGGCTGACTCATTCATCTCCTCCAGTTCTAACTCAGAAGAGACTGTGGCCCTTGTAAACAAGAAGTGCTCCCACCTTGGCAGACAGAGAAAATGGGCATCTGATTGGTTCTTCTCCACTCATATAACCAGTAGTCCAGAAAATCACATACAGATAGAACCTTCATAATGACTGGAGAGTGCCAATTCAAAAATAATCTTCACCCTTAAAGCCCATTAATGTCATCAAATATATTGGGAACTGAATTTCCAGTTACAGTAAGTACTGTAGAACTGTACACCTGTTGAGAAGCTTCAAGTATCTTCATGCTGCAGCCAAGGAATGGTGACTGGTCTAGAAGAAAGTCCTCAGACTGACACCCCTCTTACAACTACATGCCACTCATGAGAACCAGCTAGACAATTGGCACCAGGTAAACAAAGCCAGGGGAGAATAACACCAGTCCAAGTCACCATCATCTCTTACCTGAACTATTGTAATACCTTCTCTGCCATCATTCTTGCCCACCCGAAATCTTTATCTTCATATAGACCAGGGTTAGTTTTATAAATGTTATATCAGATTATACCCCTGCCCCATGTAAGACTTTCAATAGATTCCTAATGCACAAAGAGAAAAAAAAAAAAGAAACAAATTCTTTAGGATGACCTACAAGATCTGTGAGAAAAAAATCTGTTCTCCCTGAGCTTCTGGTGGTTCTCACAACCTTTGTCATTTCTTGGCTTGTAGAAACATCACCCCAATTGTTGCCCTCACCTTTATATGGCGTTTTCCCTGTGTATGTGCCCTAATTTCCTCTTTTTATAAGGGCATCAGTCATGCTGGATTAGAGCCTAGCCTATTTCTGTGTGACCTCACTATACCTCCAATGACACTATTTCCAAATAAGGTAACATTCCAAGGTCCTGGAGGTTAGGACTTCAATGTACGAATTTAGGGTGGACAGAATTCAACTCATAACAACCCTAAATAAAAGAATAAATAAAAAGCTCTTCTTTAAGACTGCTCCACCTTTTAGATCTTAAGAGCTGCTTGTTTTTGCTGTGCTGGAGTTGAAAGTTGCAAAAAAAAAAAGTGGAATTATGCATTCTACAACTTTTCTAATGAAAGCACCATGGTGTAGCCAAGAAAACACTATTGCAGGAGTCATAAATCCCTGTCACAGTCTTATACGTCTGGTAACATCTGATTCAGCTAATTTTACTGAGACTATCAGTGAGTTTCCTCATATATAAAAGGCAAGGTCAACTTTCATGATCACTAATATCTCAATCCGTCCCAGGAGGAAGGAAAAAATTATTTCTGGTAGGCAGAATTTTTAAATGACCCCCATGACCTGCACCTTCTGGTGTTAGCCCTGTGATAGTTACCTTGCATAAAAGGAATTTTGCATTGTAATTAAGATTATTTGTCAGTTGACTTTACCACAGGAAGATTATCCAGGTGGGCCTCCGTATGCTTACCCCATGAGCCCTCTAAAAACAGACTGTTCTCCAATTAGTAGCTGAAAAGAAAGTCAGAGAGATTGTATAAGAGATTCTTGCAAGGGAGGCTCTCCAATGCAAAGATGGAGGGTGGACTGGGACAGGGACCCAAGAGTGGACTCCAAGAGCTGAGAGAGGTGTCTGGCCAATGACCAGCAACACAGCAGGGGCCTCAGTCCTACAACAGCAAGACACTAAATTCTGCAAACCTGATGAGCTTAGAAGCAGATTCTTGTGCAGAGACTCCAGAACACCCAACTTTTTGAGACGCTAAACAGAGAACCCCATCAAGCCCACTTGGAAACTGACCTATAGAGCCGTGAAGTACAAATGGGTATTGTCTCAGGACAGTCATTAAGCAGTAGTATGTTACATGGCAACACAAAATGGCTACATTATTACATGATGGAGAGAAAAGGAAGAGAGAAACCAGGAGGAAAGGGAATTGGAAATGGAGTGGAGAAAGGAACTAAGCAAAAACTGAGGAAGACAGGGAACTGGGGGAAGAAGGGAGGGAAGGCATAAAGACAGAAGGAAATAAGATAAATGAAATTTCCCTTGAATAGTTCTACTGGGTCAGAGCTGAAAGGTCCTGATATTTGTTTCTTTGCCTGTCCTGTTTGCATGGAGCAGGGATAGTAACTCTCTGAAGCAAATGCCATTTTGTACAGCTAAATGGAAATCATGATCAGTAGTAGCTAGGAAGAGACCATCTCATAAAATAGAAGGGAAATCATGTGCTTTTTGCACACGTAAGGAAAGACTAGAGGAAAAGGAGAGAGAAGGAAAGAAATGCAGGGAGGATGAAAGAAGGAGAGGAAAGACAGAGTGGGAAGGAAGGCAAGGTGGGGGAGGAGAGAGAGAAATGGCAAAGGAAAAATGTCTTTTAGAGGAATATAAAATTCTGTACTGAACACTGGACTAATGTGTGTCAGACAGGAGCACAGTCATATCAAACTTCTCTTGAAGTTCTCCAGGAGCAATAGAAAAATTGCCACGTCCTTTCTGCCTTTTCAGACTTTTTAAGCTTCACTAGTTGCCTGCCTAGTCAAACAGCCTCCAATGCCATCCAAGGAAGCTAAAGCTCCACAACCGTGACACTAAAAAAAAAGAAAGTCTTTACCTCATGTAGGTATTTCTGAATCCAGCAATTATGAAAACACAAAATCACATCTGTTTGAAAGAGATGGGTAAGCCAATAGCAATGTTAAACATTTCCAATAAAATTCAGTAATTGAAAATAAGTTTTATTAGGAAAACATTATTTCTAGACTTTCCCTCAGCAAGGCAGAGAAATTACTCTGACACAGTCAAATCCCATGGGGATTTTTTTTCCTGTGTCTTTAATGGTCCTACAACTCCTTTATAGTACGTGGGGATATTTTGCCCATGTTCAATGCCCAGTGACCAACATCAGCGTGTTGAAACAAAAACACAAAGACCAACCTGGTGTAGCATTTACAGTAAAAAGCATTAATAAGAGAGCCAAAGTAGCCAGGCAATTAAAACAAAAAGCACCAAAAAAGAAAATGAGCAAACTCTGTATAGAAACAGCAAGTTTCATGTAAGAATTCTTTTTTAATTGAGCTATTAATAAACATTAAAAATCAAGAGTTGAATACACAGGACAAAGTTCAGCTATACAAGCTGACATCCAAATAATGAGTAAGAAAAAAGGAGATACTCATCTAGCAACTTCTGTTCTGTGATCCAAGGAAAAGCAACTCTTATTTTCTTTGTCTGTGATGACCAGTATTATTTGTAAAGCATTTTCAACAAGTTGGTTAAATAAGATCCTTTTTTTCCAGCAAGAGCTGAAGGACTTCTAATGGAAATATGCTTTAATAGTTCCTCTTGCTGTGCTCAGGAAATTCTACATGATTATTGACATTATTTCTTACATAGATGATGGCTATGTAATTGTCTATTCTCTGTCTTGTGGCCTTGGGAAGACTGTGGATGTGATGGTTGACGACCAGCCAAACCCCAAGACTTCAAGTGACCCAAAGAGTTGTTTATGCCAATCTCAGGGAGGAAAAGTACTACATAATTGCAAAATAACATATTTAGATGAGGGATCAGCAGACTTTTTCTGCAAAGGGTCATAGAGTAAATATTGTAGGATTTGTGAACCATATAGTCTTTGCCATAACTACTCCGATTGTAGTGTGAAAGCAGCCCCAGACAATATGTAGAAGAATGAGTGTGGCTATGTTCCAATAAAACCTTATGAATGAAATTCGACTTTTTTACAGTTTTCATGTGATAAAATATTATTCTTA